AGCATAACAAACTTATTTCATCTGAACAACAAGAAACGATGTCTGGAAATAAGATAAAATACTGAAAACAATCTTAGAAACTCACTGCTCAGACTAAGAATATCCATCCATTTTATTATCTTAAAACTAGTAAAATAATCTTACATTTGGAGATTACAATTGAGACTTACTTGTGACTTTCCAAACAATGACTTTGTCCCACCTTTGTGACCGACATTAGTATAAACTGGGAAACGAAAACAAAACCATGGTCTAATAAGTACTAAACTAACAACAGCATATTTGGCTAAAGGCTTGTGTTTTATTCCTAATCCCTTGGTCATAATTATTCTGCCTGTAAACCTGTAAACCTAAACCTGTAAACCTAAACCTGTAAACCTGTAAACCTAAACCTGTAAACCTAAACCTGTAAACCTAAACCTGTAAACCTAAACCTGTAAACCTAAACCTGTAAACCTGTAAACCTAAACATGTAAACCTGTAAACCTAAACCTGTAAACCTGTAAACCTAAACCTGTAAACCTAAACCTGTAAACCTGTAAACCTAAACCTGTAAACCTGTAAACCTAAACCTGTAAACCTGTAAACCTAAACCTGTAAACCTGAATTATCCAATGTTGGCCGTTCTTAGCTTTGGCGTGCACTCACTTGGCAGTGATATGACACATTAACATCTGATTTAACTCCTCATAAAACCGTACGCAGCCTCAGTCACGACCTGGAGATTAAATATTCAAATTACCAGAGTTTCTATTTGATGCCAATTATGTCCAAGTGTTTAATGGCAGGTTTTAATGATTTTCTAAGTATGCATTTGTTTGTTGGATTCGTATCCTTGGAAAGATGACCTAAACATTCTCAGCTTTTTCAGCTTTTGGTCATGTTATAGTTATTTCTCCTTGTCGTTAACGCACACACAGAGCTGTGTTGGTGTGATTCGTGCATATGAGAGTTATTTATACATTTTGTAAATCCAGAAATAAGCCCTAACAAGCTTTGGTCCACATCTTCGACATTAGATAGTGAGTAGTGTGAACAAATACTGCCATTCCTGATTGGTTGATTAGTTGCTAGTTCAATTCTACAAACACATTCAGCTCCAGATGTGAGCTGTCTGTTCTGGAGGTTCTTTATTAATCCAGACCTTTAAACCAAGCTCGTACAATAATTAATGTGCAGTTGCATTAAAAAGATGGCTGCACCAGATTTAGCACCAAGCTACTTTCCACCACTAGTCCTTGACAATATAATCATATAACTTGCATAATAATAAGCAGTTCCAATTAAAAGTGCAGGTTACTAAAAAAACATTAAAATAAAGTTCAATCAATCAATGACTCTTCTGTCCCCTGGAAAAGCCATGTTCCAGCTTCTTCCCTCTCGCAGAAGATAAAGCTCCCTGAGATGCAGGACATCCCGTTTTGCTAACAGCTTCTTTCCACAAACTGTTATCAGTTTAAACACAGTTAAGGATCTTTCACTTGTATTGAAACTGTTTTGGTTTGATCTATTTTTCGGTGACAATCGTTTCCTGTTTTATTTCTGTACTTGTCTTGTGCACACTGGGGACTTTTGTGGATGTATTCCACTGTGGTTTTACTGCAAATAGATAGATTGATACTTTATTGATCCCCGTCGGAGAAATTCAGTTGTCCAGCAGCAGCAAAAATAAAATTGATAATTCTAAAAAGCTAATAATTGTAAAATGGCAAATAATGTGAATCCAAATGAGAAGGCTGCTCATGGAGCCTGTTCAAGCTAGCCTGTATTAGCTTCTTCTGTGAAATTGGTAAACACTATGGGTTCCGTAGGCACAAAAATCCATCACTCAGATTTTCTCCTCCCGCTTCCACCACCTCAAAATCAGGACATTATCTTCATGTAATTGGCTCTTCACTTCAGCTTCCACCATCATATCCAAAATCCCACTCAAATACCCCTCCTGCAAACTTGCAATATCTCTGCCATGGTCTAAGCATCAGAAGCAGAAGTAATATGCACCAGCAAATAAAAATACTTATTTTATACTATAAGTGCCTAAATCATACCATTAGCCTATTACGCCACATTACTCTATAAAGGTTCTGTGTTTCTACTGGACTTTACTACATTTAGTAAATGCATATGTATATACACATGTACAGAAAAGATTGTTCTGACATTTTATTAGGTTTTGTTTATTGATAACAGTTAAGTAGTCACATTTTTTATCAATTAGATTGTTGTCACCCAAACTGTCTTATTCACTTTAAATAAACCAGTTTAAATGTTGTAAAATAACATCTTAAGGTTTTTGCAATCTCAACGTTGCATCCACTTCAGTCATTTTCTTTTGTCTTCTTGTAGCTATCAATAGAAACAAGATGTCAAACAAGACGTCACACATTATAGCATCTGAGGGGTTAGCCATTTTAAAAGAACAAATCAGCAGCTGTCATTTTCAGTCCTTAGCCACTAAAGGAAAACAACACTTCACGCAACCCTTGAGAGAAGCTGCATACGTCGAGACGTCAGGGCCGAGCTGTCACCGAATCCGCCGTTCTGTGTAAATGGACTGTTGCATTCACAGGTGACTGCTGCTGTCATCGCCACACGGCTCCGCACTCTTTGTGTTTGTGTGGACAGTGATGCCCCATTTTAGGACTGGGTTAGGAGGAAGGGGGAAAAACATATTTCATCTTTTGGTCCATATTTTGGGTCTATCTGACAGCCCACAGTGAAGGTTCCAGGAAGTGTAGATCCTTAGCATAAACCTCAATGTTTGAAAAAATAAATAAAAAATGTCCTTACAGAGTACTGCTCTTCAGTTGGAACGGCAGCTGTCATAACACATTTGGATCTGAACCACAAGTCTATAGAACGGACAAACAGGAGATTTCAATATAGATTTGTTATCATTAAATATGTTGTATTGTGTATTCTAAAAGATATATATTACCGTACAAGTTGTTACTTCCAGCTCCAAGAGCACAAGTGAATGTCTCGTGATATAAAATGTGTTATAATAGTTAAACATAATAAAACAATTACAACAAATAGTACACAAATATACATATATATATAAATATATACATAAATATAGCTTCTGGAGACACTACTTCTGTCTCCGAGAGAAACTGGGGAATCGCTCCTGAGGTTAACGGGAGACTTTTAACTTACCCAGAGATACACCACCTCCTCATCTCCAACTGCAAAGAACTGAAGTTTATTTTGTGTGTAGAGACAGACGTATAATAACTACCTTCAGGGCAGAACTGTACCCCTCACTTCGCGTCAGGGTCCGGTTCACCCGTCGGTACTTATAGTATATTCCCATAATGACCTATATACATTATCCCTTACATGGAAAATGATATGGATGTTTCTATACATTATGCAAATGACTGATCTTCTCCCACCGTTAATGTATTTTAAAAACAACAAATCCATGTCACACTTTGAACAACATTGTGGAGGGGAGTTAAGCAGATCCTCTCGCAGTGAGTGAGTGAGAGTGTAGCATTTACATGTTCAAGAATAGATTATATGTATTAAGTGCAGGAGAAACATAATACTTAAGCAAAGATGTGTCCACACCAACAAAACACACAATCCGCCGGAAAGCGATACTGGCTAATAATGGATTTTCTCTCCTTTTAAAATGCCGTGTCCAGCCGGAGAAGTCCATCATGGTGGAGCTAGGTTATTTGCTCTTTTATATTGGCCGCACAATCAATAGTGCTTTGCTATTGCAGAGATAGCAATATTACTCCATTTTCAGGGTTAGGTAATATTAGTCTGTAAGAGCTTATCTATTGATCAGACCACACGGACCGTTCATTCCAGAGCACTCTTCTTGTAAGTTTCTGAATGACCATGTGTTCATATCAGCTCTAACATCTTCCACTTTGTATGAATGGAAAAGATGTGTGGTATTTTTGGTGAAAATAATCTGAAGGATGGAAAGGCAACTTCCCCAGTTTTCAGATGTAAGTTTGACAATTAATGTTTTCCCACTGATTGGATAAAAGGCTCAACCCCATTCACTCTACAACAAACAATGAGGCCTAACGGACACTGTCGACCGTACCTCATATGTCATGCATCGGTGCAATATCTTGAACTAATGTCAGAATGTGCATATATAGATATATATATATGTATATACTATAGAACCACATTCCTACTGTTCTGTAACTGGTGATGCAACACTGGAATTTCACCACTGTGGGGAAAATAAAGAAACGTATTCTTATATTGTATAATTGCACTTGGCATCATCATTTGTGGATTATTTAGATTCGCTTTTTTTCTACTCATGCATTTGAACAATCACGGGTGCATGTTTTGGAATGATCCAGATTCCTGAAGCATCATTTCACCTTTTTGCTTCAACCGTTTGGTCCTGACAAAAGTAGGATGCAGGGCAATGAAGTCTTCAAAAAGGATGGGGAGAAGGGGAGGAGGAGGACTGCGGTGTGAACAAATGGATGGAGCTTCCTTGCGATATGAAGCTGATGTGGGCAGTGCCTGATTGCTGACAGGATTTACGTGTGGTTGACTGATTTCTGTTGCCGTGAGCAACAGTGGGAGGACTTTGAGGGATGTGAACTTACAGTATTTTTCTGGACCTCCGCTTTAGCTTCATATCTCTCTCCTGTGACGATGTTACTCAGGTGGACTCCAGGCGACCAGAGCTGCTTCTATCTTCTGTCTTCTGTCTTCTTTTTTTTGGATTACCTTTCTCTTACACTTTAAAGTGACAAGTGGGTTAAAAATAGCATAAACCTCAAAACCCGCATATAAATAAATATTCATATACACTCTATAAACGAAAAGAACATTGACTTTGTGGTCGCCAATGGCTCAGTGGCTCTGTGATAAATTGGAATGGAATGCGACGCCGTCGGATCTGGGATGACAGCTCGGAGTCAATGAGCAGCCAGGTATAGAAGCGTAATATCTCCTAAGAGTCTATTTTTCTGACTGACAGACAAGTTCGCCGGGGTTAGTGTTCTCACTGCAAAGCGCGCTCTTTCAGCCGTGCACTGCCTGGCCCTCTGAGGGAAATCAGAAGAGCAGACGCTGTCAAAACGCCTGATGATGAACCAACACACAAACAATGGAAAAGTGAGATTGAGACGTAGCTCGTTTAAAGAAATCGACGTGGTACAGCCTTCCCAAGACTTCCCATCGCTGAACATAACAAAGCTCTATTGTCCTGTGTGGAGCCTTTCTCTGTTCACTGAGCTGAGTAATTCTAACGCTAATTACGCCCGTGCGGTTCCAAAATGTGTAGGAATTTATATGTTTGTCCCATTGGAAGGAATTAGCATGATTAGGGCTCATCATTGTCATAGCAGTGGGCATGTCTTAGAGGTATGAGGGTATGTACAAAGTGTTGGTTGGATAAGCATCGGCCTTGAATAGCTAAGGTCAGGAAAATGTGTAACGTGCTTTTCATGACACTCAGGGACGCTTCACATGTCATTCTTTCAATCCATACATGGTGGTGTGAAAACTATAGCCTCAGCTGCCCTGGGGCACACTGTCAGAAGCAAAGCAACCAGTCTGTGTCATCAGCCCCTCTGACCACACCACATCAGATTCATTCTTGGCTAAGTGGGTGAAGTGTCTTGCCTAAGGACACAACAACAGTTTGGCACTTTACAGCCGCAGCCGCCCCACTGTGGCACCTGGTGCTCCCAAAGGTCTCCCATCACAGTAATGACCAGGCCCTGCCTTGCACAGCTTCAGAGGTCAGGCGGGATCTTGCTTTTGAATGCAAGTATGGCCACAACTTATGTCATTTTCTTTTTTTAATTCATTATCACTCATAATTGTATCAAAGACTTTGTATAACTGCCGTCGAAAAATTCTTATGAACAAACTGACAGTGTATTGGTCAGTCTTGTAAATGAACAAAACATAACTGGAGTGGTTGGTTGGCACTTCTCAGCAGGATTTAATCCTGGGTTTAAATCTCGATCAGAATATAGGGTCTTTCTGAGTGGAGTTTGCATGTTCTCCCTGTGTCTGCGGGTTTCCTCCAGGTGTCCTTATCACGCAAAACATGTGCAATTGGTATAATCCTCCAGCTCTGGAAGTCCTGACCAAGCTGAGCATTAACTTTGATTGGAGGGATGTGGCAAATGCAGAGAACAATTTTCCCTTTGATGAAATTAAAGTGTTCCTTAAACTTAGCATTCAACAACAAAAGGCAACGTTATTCTCAAAATGTCAATAAGGTCTATAGATATTGCTTTAAAATAAAAGCTTATGAGACTGGCTGATTAGAAGGATGGGTCAAATGTAGAAAATTGCATCATTTGTTGGCCGTGACCCCATAAAAAACGGCGTCTTCCTTAAAGTGCAATCAAAACAATATTGACCCATGCATGTATAAGGCATCAAACAGTAAAACTGCTCTGTGGCTGCCGGCCTTATTCAGACCTTTTTCTGCAAAAAGTCAATGCAAAGTCGATTAGCAGATGATCGTGACTGAAAACACTTCAGCAGGATTGCCGCTGTCACCCAAAGACATTATTATAAAGATGGACAGTAGCAATAAGTTCTTCTCCTCTCATTTACTGTACTATGGACTGCTCATGTGCAGACTAAAGTACTATGGACTGCTCATGTGCAGACTAAAGTACTCTGGACTGCTCATGTGCAGACTGAAGTACTCTGGACTGCTCATGTGCAGACTAAAGTACTCTGGACTGCTCATGTGCAGACTAAAGTACTCTGGACTGCTCATGTGCAGACTAAAGTACTCTGGACTGCTCATGTGCAGACTAAAGTACTCTGGACTGCTCATGTGCAGACTAAAGTACTCTGGACTGCTCATGTGCAGACTAAAGTATATGGACTGCTCATGTGCAGACTAAAGTACTATGGACTGCTCATGTGCAGACTGAAGTACTCTGGACTGCTCAGTGCAGACTAATATGGACTGCTCATGTGCAGACATCAAAGTATATGGACTGCTCATGTGTGCAGACTCAGACTAAAGTACTATGGACTGCTCATGTGCAGACTGAAGTACTCTGGACTGCTCATGTGCAGACTAAAGTATATGGACTGCTCATGTGCAGACTAAAGTATATGGACTGCTCATGTGCAGACTAAAGTATATGGACTGCTCATGTGCAGACTAAAGTACTCTGGACTGCTCATGTGCAGACTAAAGTATATGGACTGCTCATGTGCAGACTAAAGTATATGGACTGCTCATGTGCAGACTAAAGTACTCTGGACTGGTCATGTGCAGACTAAAGTATATGGACTGCTCATGTGCAGACTAAAGTACTATGGACTGCTCATGTGCAGACTGAAGTACTCTGGACTGCTCATGTGCAGACTAAAGTATATGGACTGCTCATGTGCAGACTAAAGTATATGGACTGCTCATGTGCAGACTAAAGTACTATGGACTGCTCATGTGCAGACTAAAGTACTATGGACTGCTCATGTGCAGACTAAAGTACTATGGACTGCTCATGCATACGCTCTGTAAGGTCAATTAACAGTCACTGATTTAAGGTATTTTATTTATGTTATTAGAGCCACATTTATAAACCGTTTGCTCATGTGCCAAAGTGATTAGCAGCCCTTACAAAAGCAGCAAACTAATCTGTCAGGCACAATTACTGAAGAATATCACTCGGCACTACTAACAATAACTCATTTTAACAGAAAACAGAGGATGAAAACTTGTTTTTTTGTGCCCAGTCTAGAACTATCTAACTTTTTGCCAAACAGTGTCAATGATGCATACGTAAATACACAGAAAAGTAGAAATGCAATCTGGTTGTCTTGGTGAAGTGGTCATGAGGCCTTAATCCCATCCCTTCTCTTCACCTCTGGTTGCTTTCACCTGACCCAGGCCCCAAAGCCTGCTTTAATACTGAGTCTGAGCTGCAGTCAATTACCACACTCCTCAAAAACAGCCGACTCAAGAGCTACAAGATTATGTGCTCGTCTCATGAAGTCAGCAGGGTGCAGTGGGGTGAGTGTGGCGACCATCACCTACATGGATGAAAAGCCGGTTTGCGGTATGATTTCTGATGTACTTAAAGCTTTAAAGGTCCATGGACTGTAAATATTAACGGACGTAGTCAAGGCTATTCAATGGGGATTTTTCAAAATGTCCGCGAGGCAGGAAAACGTGAGAAAACGCGTTTGCACATGCGTTAGCCGCCATGAGCCCCATTCATTAGACGAGTCTACAGAGGCTACACTTGACAACATCTGGGCCAAGAGCCGACTTTTGGACCATCCTGTGAAGCCGTTTTCGAGAGGAAAGAATGCGCTATACAAAAGCATTGGGTAATTCTCTTTCTGGGTACACCCCCACAGGCCCGGGGTGAGATTGCAAGCATATCAACGCATGTGTTCATGGACCTTTTGGAACCTTGTCCGCTGCATAATAAACAGAAACTGGAAGTCATCTTTTTTGTTTTTGTTTTAACGTTCTAGTAATAGCTCTTTCGGTTTACAAATGAACCTACACATTTTCTGTCTGGTTTAGTACAATGAGAAAATGTAATGGCACTTTAATCACTTAATACCATATTGATTGATTACTACATTAACTATTTCTTACGAGGCGCACAGGCGTACAGCTGGGTATGAAACAAAAACAGTGTAAACCCTATTAACCCTATTTCTCATAAGATGAAGACAACATTTTGTCAACAATTACAATCCTCATTTTTTTGAGACAAAGAGTATTAATTAGAAAAATGTTTGTAATCCAGCTTCCTCCTGCCTTTGTAAAATCGATGTAGTAAATGTTGCAAATCCATCAGCAGACTGAGCCTCATGACCGTGAAGTGGAATGGACTACATTTCTGCCATGGACAAAATCACATCAAACATGAAAAACTAGCACTCACCCTCGCAGCAGGCAATAGAGATGTCACTTTGAGTTAACCCACCATCCTCCTCCTTCAACTTTATTACCTACTGGTATGTGTTCCATTAATTCTTAAACCTCTGGCTCGCCTTTGTGCACTGTTTATAAGTGTCCAGGTTAATTCACCCTCTCCTTGGTACACAACGGTTCTGACCACATCATTTTTTGTGCCACAAGATGCAGTGAACCTTTGACTTCAATTTCCTCGAGCTGCAGACGTAAATGAGAAGAATGTTTCCGCGGCTCCCTGTCCATCCGTGCACAAGGTGAGGAGACGAAACATGTGTGTAGAGGTAAGAGAGAGACGCACTGACCCGCTGTCTTCTCCAACTGCGACTCCTCCAGCAGTGAAGACAGTCGTCCCCGTTTGGATGTGTTTGGATATGTTTGGATATGTTTGGATGTGTTTGGATATGTTTGGATATGTTTGGATGTGTTTGGATGTGTTTGGATATGTTTGGATATGTTTGGATATGTTTGGATATGTTTGGATGTGTTTGGATATGTTTGGATGTGTTTGGATATGTTTGGATATGTTTGGATATGTTTGGATGTGTTTGGATGTGTTTGGATATGTTTGGATGTGTTTGGATGTGTTTGGATATGTTTGGATATGTTTGGATGTGTTTGGATATGTTTGGATGTGTTTGGATATGTTTGGATATGTTTGGATATGTTTGGATGTGTTTGGATGTGTTTGGATGTGTTTGGATGTGTTTGGATGTGTTTGGATGTGTTTGGATGTGTTTGGATGTGTTTGGATATGTTTGGATGTGTTTGGATGTGTTTGGATGTGTTTGGATATGTTTGGATGTGTTTGGATATGTTTGGATATGTTTGGATGTGTTTGGATGTGTTTGGATATGTTTGGATGTGTTTGGATGTGTTTGGATATGTTTGGATGTGTTTGGATGTGTTTGGATGTGTTTGGATATGTTTGGATATGTTTGGATGTGTTTGGATGTGTTTGGATGTGTTTGGATATGTTTGGATGTGTTTGGATGTGTTTGGATGTGTTTGGATATGTTTGGATGTGTTTGGATATGTTTGGATATGTTTGGATGTGTTTGGATGTGTTTGGATGTGTTTGGATGTGTTTGGATATGTTTGGATATGTTTGGATATGTTTGGATGTGTTTGGATGTGTTTGGATGTGTTTGGATGTGTTTGGATGTGTTTGGATGTGTTTGGATATGTTTGGATATGTTTGGATATGTTTGGATATGTTTGGATGTGTTTGGATGTGTTTGGATATGTTTGGATGTGTTTGGATGTGTTTGGATGTGTTTGGATATGTTTGGATATGTTTGGATATGTTTGGATGTGTTTGGATGTGTTTGGATGTGTTTGGATATGTTTGGATATGTTTGGATATGTTTGGATGTGTTTGGATGTGTTTGGATATGTTTGGATATGTTTGGATGTGTTTGGATGTGTTTGGATATGTTTGGATATGTTTGGATATGTTTGGATATGTTTGGATGTGTTTGGATATGTTTGGATGTGTTTGGATGTGTTTGGATATGTTTGGATATGTTTGGATATGTTTGGATGTGTTTGGATGTGTTTGGATATGTTTGGATGTGTTTGGATGTGTTTGGATATGTTTGGATATGTTTGGATATGTTTGGATGTGTTTGGATGTGTTTGGATATGTTTGGATATGTTTGGATGTGTTTGGATATGTTTGGATGTGTTTGGATATGTTTGGATATGTTTGGATGTGTTTGGATGTGTTTGGATGTGTTTGGATGTGTTTGGATATGTTTGGATATGTTTGGATGTGTTTGGATGTGTTTGGATATGTTTGGATGTGTTTGGATGTGTTTGGATATGTTTGGATGTGTTTGGATGTGTTTGGATGTGTTTGGATATGTTTGGATATGTTTGGATATGTTTGGATATGTTTGGATATGTTTGGATGTGTTTGGATGTGTTTGGATGTGTTTGGATGTGTTTGGATATGTTTGGATATGTTTGGATGTGTTTGGATATGTTTGGATATGTTTGGATGTGTTTGGATATGTTTGGATGTGTTTGGATATGTTTGGATGTGTTTGAACGGATGTAAATTATTCATATTATTTCAGAGACAATTCTGTATGTGTACATTTTTTTGACTCAAGTTAGAAATGCACCAGGATAAAAAAGGGGAAAACAGAACAACTTCAAAAGAGCCCTATCATGTTGCATACTTGTAGCAGTAGTAGTAATTTTATTTAATTCAATAACAATTTTTTTTTTTTTGAACTTTCTTGTTTATATTGTAAAACATACTTCTGTCTGAAATTGTTCAGGCCAAAATCTATTCACTTATTTTTGCCTAAATCTTGTAAATAAATATATGCATTCTATTAGTCCCTTAGTGTCTTGTAAAAACGTGTTGTGAACCAGTCAGACCACAACTGACTTGCTTTAGCCTTCTAAAAAAAACACACACACACACACATTAAGCCTTCTTGTGGGAAACAGCACAATGTATTTATTAATTTGAACAGCATTAGTAAAGCACACATGGAGTGGGTTGAAGCTAAAAAACAGTAAACAGTTGAAGAGAAACAGTAACAGAAACTCAATGTGTGCGGTGGGTGACTTCCTTCCTACGTGACTTCCTGTATCCGGTGAGCGTGTTTCTTGACTGCTATCACTCTGCTCTCTGTTTGCACAAACACATTACAAATCCACGTATTGTACACCAAGCTAACTGTGTAAGCACTCCGAGTCAGCTGTACTGCAGCTGAGGTTTAGGTAGCGGTTGTTTGTCTGGTCTCGGAGTCTGTTGTGCGGGCCCGGATCCGTACTAGCTTAGCCTAGCCTAGCTTAGCCTAGCCTAGCCGCTAACTCGCTACTATGGCGGCTGCTGTCTCTCCCTCAATCCTTTACTGCTCGAGTTGCCATATGGCGAGTCTAAACCCTGGATCCTTCTCTGA